CCCTGAGAACCTGGTAGGTGAGTGCTCTGAAGAGCTTACATCGAGCGCGGAGCTTACATCGAGCCGCTGAACCAAGATGGCTGCCAAGGCCACACCTGGGCCATGGCGAGGAGCTGCTCTCCTGAGCACTAGGCCCTCTCTAGGGCGCAGTCCCAGAGAGGGCAGCAGACACCCTGTCTTGGCCTGGGAAACAAGTTTCCTGGCGGGGTGGGGGTGGGGGGGCGGTGTCAAGACTGCTGCCTGGGCTCCAAGGAGCCAGGCGAGCTCTCGGGTTTCACTCTAACCGAGACTCACAATGTAAACAAACTCCCAGAAGCTTCTTATCTGAGGTGGGGACTCCAGACGCCAGGGTCATGGGAGGACACAACTCATCAGGGAAATTCACCTTCTGGGGAAGTGGCTGCCCAAGGTGTGGTCTTCATCGTGGACGTCCTGGCTCAGAGATGGGGGACGGAGGTGGCGCCTGTGGGGTCCTCTCACCCCTCTGTCCACTGGGCATCTCACTGCGCTCCAAGTCGGTCCCTGTGTCCCAGGCACTGGCCTGGGGCTCAGGAGGGCAGTGCGTCCAGATAAGGTTTGAATCTGAGAAGCCAGGCAGCCGCTCATGGACTCTGTGACCGGTCCTCGCCTCCATTCTCAGCCAGGATCGGACGGTTGGGCAGGAATTCTGTCTGGGGATGACTCTTCCTCTTTTTAGAGTGCCCGGGGCACGGTCTGTCCCCTCCCAGGCCTAACCCTTGGCCCTCAGTCCCAAGACGAATCACTCTAGGGATCAGAGGGGCTGTTCTGGGAGAACCTGATGGGGTTCCTGAAGAGATGTGTGCTCAGCCTAGGATGCAGGCCTTCTTGGGCCACAACCCTAGGGGAGATGACAGGGTCCTCGTACTCTTGCCTCCTCCAGAAGTCACCTTAGAAAACCCCATCTCTTCCTTTTCTTGGAGTCAGCTAAAGCCTACTGACAAGGAAACATGGTGCTCTGTTTACCAGGTGGCACCTGCCTATCTACCTTAGCCAAAGTCCACCCTCAATTCCTGCTCCCACCCTCTGAGTCAGCATTGTCTCTGCACCCTTTTTTCCTCCCTAGACTCCAAGAAGGGTGCTATCCAGCAGGGGGCGCTGCGGTCACGGGGTCAGAGCTTTCAGAGGGCTGGGGCTTGTGAGTAGAACTGGAATCCCCTGGGAACACAGGTGGCCCTGGGGGTGGACTCTGGTCCTGCTAGACAGCAGAGGGATGATGAATTTATAGACACACCCCATCCAGCAGTGGGGCACCCTTATCCAGCCTTCCTGGCCTGTTGTACCCACACACCCAGTGTCCAAAGGGCAGGGCCAAACAGTGCTGGTATGTTGTTTCAGGTTCTGGCTGTGATCACCAGCGACCTGGGTATTCCTGGGACAATGTGTGAATTTTAATCACCTGTCCTACACTTTAGCCCAATGCCCTCAGCTCCCCAGACTCACAACCTGAGATCACTTTGCCCTTAGGCAAAGTGGGGAATCTCCCTACATTTCTCCCAGAATGGGGAAACTTGGGAAGGCCTGGGAAGGGTTCTACTCCAACCCATCTCACATCCGGGCCATCCACGGATACTGCTGTCAACTAAGCTCACTTCTCTCCATCCCCTGTGGCCAGAGCCCCAGTCCACGTGGAGTGACCCGAGCTGCCTCCTATCCATTGCCCTGCCTTGATTTGCAGCAGGGTCCCAGACAAGGGCAATGCAAGTAGGGGCCTGAGGTATGACATTCAAGGGGAGGCACTCACTCTCATGGTCATGCAAGAACAGGGTTGTGTGAGCGTCACCTCCACAGAGAGATTTCTGAAGCACAGACCAGACTCTCGGTTTCACCCCGCAGAGCCAGGATCAAGTCCATACTTCTGAGGAGCACTCAAGCCTCTTCACAGTATGGCTCCTGTGGGCTGGTCCAGCCTTAGTTCCTGGAGCAGCCATACAAGGTCACAAGGCCACACCACAAGCAGGATCTGTCCCGCACTCGGGAGCCTCCAGGCTTTTGCTTGGGCTGTGCCTACAACTTAAACACGTTCTCCCACGGCTGACTCATCACCCTTCAAGGCCCTTGAACGCCAGTTCCTCAGAGTGGCTGCCTGTGAACTCTGGCTGAGATAAATCGCTTCTGTCCCCACGTCCCAGCATTTCTGCTCCTTTGCCTCATACTGCAGGTACGATATACATCTGTCATTCTGCAATCAAGTGCACTTACTAATTGCCTGCTGTTTGCAAGGAATGAGCTGGGTGTCAGGGAGGGGGCTCTGAGGGTAATAACCCCATCTTTTGTCCCCAGAGAGCTTATATCCAGGGTAGCTGGTGGCACGTGGGGACCGTGCCGACTCACTTCGAAGTGCCTCTGCATGACTGGTACAGGCATGGGCCTGAGAAACATTCCATGCCCCTCAGATGCCCCTATGTCTTCAGGCTTCTAGAGTCACCACTCAACTAGCAACAAAGAATACATGTGTGCTCCAGCCCATGAGGCTGTGGGAAGACTTTTCCAACATTCTTGAGGGTTCTTGAGGAAAGGAGACTAATTTTTGTTTCCTGGCAGTGGCAAGTCACCAGGGCCCTCCTGGCTAAGAGCTCCTTCTCCCAGCAAACCCTGGTCCATTTTACCCCAGTGTGGACCGAGTCCTCTGAAATACTCCCAGAGCAGCAATCTAGGAGTTAGCCATCACAGTGGCTATCCAACCTGGTGACATGATCATTGCAGGCTCTCACTTGCCAAGCTGGAGGGCAGTCAGTCATGCTTTCTCCAGACTATCCAGGCAGGTGGGTCTCTGCTGACCCTTCACCCCTCCTGCCAGTCAGTCAGTCAGTCAAGAGAGACTTTCTTGATACTCACTCATGCAGAGAAAGGACTGGAACCTCTCACATTGAGCTGAGGTTCTATCTAAATTGAGGCCTTTGCGGACCTACCTTCCAGGAGAGGAAGAGAAACCCTACCTGATGTTAACAGCCCCTTCCCCTTGTTACGCGGCTGGCTGGCCGATGTCACTGGACACCCAGTCTCTCTGCATGATTAGGAGCGGACACAATGTGAAGACAACTGGAAAGGGAGCAAAGATCCTCTTGGAATGACAGAACCACACAGAAATGACCACAGTGATGCTCAGGAAAGCCACGTCCCTCCCTTCTTCTTTACCACCGGGGGCATACTGCTGAGACAATCCGAATCCATCATCCATCCATCCATGCCCATCCATGCCACACCTCGCTCATAGGGTATCTGCTGTGCTCAGGCAAGGCTGGATCCTGGGGTTACAGCAGTGAACAGGACAGAGCACCTGCTGGGCCAACCCCCTTTTCTCCTGTCTCTTGCCCTGTTTTCCTTCTATGAACATTCCTATAACTCAGCAGTTGTTGAATACAAGCTACAAAGACATACTCCTGTTGCTGTTTTCTAGCTTAAGCTACATCTACTGTTTCCAAAAGGAGACCGCAAATGAAGTCCGACATGGACACTCGAAGACCAGGTCCTTCACCAAGTCCACTTTAAGGGAGAGGATCAGGGATTGGGGTTGAGTTCTCTGCCTGAGAGACTGTTTGGTCTAGGCAGAGGGCCAGCAACGGTGGGTCCGGACTTGGGCCACAGGAGAAGGAGGAGACAAGACCTTATTTGGTCTGGAGCCTCACTAAATTGCTGCCGTGGTCTCTGGACCCCTTCGGGGCACCCCCTCAATGCCTTAACCCTTATTTCCATGGCAGCCCCTGGAGTTGGGATTCCCAGGCTGAGTCACCAGGGTCACTAGGGACTGTGTTCATAGCACAAGACCCACTCTTGCAGCGTTTGGAGTTTCCCTGGCCCTCTCCCAGGCCAGCCACCCTTCTCCTGAGCCTGGGCCAGAGGAAACCAATGCTGGACCGGTCAAGGAATGCTTGAGGGTCTGTCTGCCCCTCCACTGGCTAGCTGGGTGCCTCAGAGTGGCTACTGCTGCTCACTGTTCCACCCTCAGCTTCTCTGGACTCAGGGAGCTCTACTTGTTTGATTTGTCTTTCCAAGAGTCATGTTCTCAAGGATATAAGCAAGGAGATCTTTATGCAGGAGCTCCAAAGCAAGGATTTAGGAAATATGTGTGCGCAGCCCACCTTAACCACAGGCATGACTTTGGTCTGAAGAGGTCAGGGTAGGGTGCTAGACTCTGCCGCACCATCCCAAACGCCCAGCCTCCCTGGCTCAGATGCAGGCCCAACCCCCAATTATCCCAGGCCTGAGCTGCAAGCCCTGGAGAGGGAAGGAAGTGACCGACCCCCACAGCAACATTCCTCTGTGATGACGACAGTGCCCAGCCACCCCATCTGCAGGGCAGTTCTCTGGAAGTCACAGGGGACTCCCTCCCAAGGAGGCTGAGGCCTCTCTTACAGAGTGGGACTTCCTTCAGCTGGGGGCATCAGCTTGACCTGACCAGGTTAGGGGGCAAGAACAGCTCGGGGCCCAGAGGGAGCAGCTCCCCTGGGAGCAGCTCAGAAGGCCACAGGGGCCACCCTAAATGCCTCTAACTCATTCCATTTCTTCATCCATTCAACAAGCACTCACCCGATATCCTCCTTGTGTTAGCCCCATCAGAGGCTCTCAGGACCCAGCAGGCTGGACTAGGCAGGCAGGGCCACACCCTCAAGGGGCTCCAAGACAGGTGGGAGGAATCCTCCAACACATACACACAAAGGATAATTTCAGCAATGATAAGTGCTATGAAGACAATGATAAGAGTTATGAAGACAATACACAAGCCAGTGTTACAGTTGGGGACCTCGCCCTTTGAGGGCCTGCATACAGTCCGGTCTTCGCATGCAAGTGTAGCGCCTGCATCCACACCGCACCACGCTCCCTTAGGAACCAACGCCGCCCGGGAGGAGGCTGGGGGCAGGTGCATGCAGGTGGGGCTTTTCCAAGGCCGGTTTTCCCCGGTTCCCGCTGGAACTTCCAGAGGGCCACGGGCCCGCGACGCTGGACACCCGCCCGTCCCCCTCCTCCTCCCGCATCCGCAGCTCGCGAGCCTCTGCGCTCCCGGCGAGGTTCCCGGAAACTCCTCGATTTCCCTGTCGCCGCCGCGTTTGCAAGAAACCGAAACCCAGGCCCCGCCCCCCGCGCCAGCCGGGAGCTGGCAACTGGGGCCTGCGCCCGGGGCTGGGTCAGAACTGGGCGACCGGAGCGGCCCCTCCCGGACCGACGGAGCCGAGGCGGAGGTGGGGGCCCTTTTGAGTTCCAGGGCTGCGCTCGGCGCCCACCTCCTACAGGTGTCCTCCCCAGCGGCTCAGCACCGCCCGCGGGAAAGCTGCAGTTCTAACCCGATTGTTCAGGTTGCATCAGATGGCGGAGTGCCCAGCGAGGGCGGGGGGCAAGCAACACAGCCTCCCCTGCAACAGTAGAGGTGGGCGCCATTTGTGTGCGCCTACAGTGCGTCCGCCAAACCAGGGGAGGGGCGCAGGGGGGATAAGAAGGAAGGGCAGGGGCGTTTACAAAGAGCTCTGTACTCCGACTCTGCACCCCTTCATCGTGGGGGGGGGGGAGGGCGGGCACAGAGCAGTTTGGCAACTTGCCCCAGATCACACAGCCTGTAGCTGCGAAGCTGGCTGCAAACCTGTGGCCCGCAGCGGGAGGCTGGGCGAAGAAGGAGGAAGTGCCCGGGCCGGCTGCCGGCAGGTGAGCTGCCTGGCACCGGCGGGGCAGCCAGCTGCGGAGGGGGAGGGGCGGTCTCAGGCCGCCACCCGGGCCGCAAGGACTGGAGGCTTTGCTTTTCTCCTTCCCTCCCTCCCTTTCCAGGAAGCCGGCCAGCCCAGAGCCGGCCGCTCACCCCAACTCACCCCCAGCCTGGGCCGAACAGGAATGTGGAAGTTGGCCGGAAGAGCTTGCGCCCCCTCCCCTCCAAAAACACACCCATCTCAGACCCCGGGAAGCGCGAACTTGGGTCACCTAGGGCGAGGGGCTCCAGACCGGGACTCGATTAGCCAGGACGAAGTAGGAGTGCTGTTATCCCCAGCAAGGCCAAGAAGCCTGCCAGGGGCTCTGACCGTAGTGCAAGACCCATTGGCGGGGGTGGGGTGGGAGTAGGAAGGGTGGAGGAGGGCGCAGGTCCCATCCAGCCCCACTCCAGGTCACGGCCACTGAGCCTGGCCACAGAGTTCAGCCCCGCCTCGGGGCCCCTTGGGGTGGTTGGAGAGCCGAGGCTGCTTTTCCTCCCAACTCAGTGTTTATAAGAAATGAAACTGCAGAGGGCATCAGCGGCAGCCCACACTGACACCCAGCTCCCCCTCCGGGGTTCCGGTCCCGGAGCGCTGGAGCAATCCTCGGCCCACTCTTATATCGCCAGACCCCTAGTGCTTTCCCAGTCAGCTGCAGCCTCCCACTCTACGTTTAGTATTTTTATAACAGCACAACGTGTATTCTGCTGTGTCATACACCATTTTTGCCTGAGTTGTGAGAGGGGAGGGGCTAGTCTCGTGCCTGAGCACATCCCCAGGGCCAAACCTGGAACTGACCCAGAGCAGGAGTGCCATTCATATTTGTTGAATGAATTAAAAAACTACTTTCTTCATCTCCAATTAGGCTCATTTCAGCTAGGGTGATGATGCCTAGATTCTAACTTAAAGCTTTGGGTTGCTTTTAGATTATTTTATGCCTGACTTTGTGTTCTGCACTTCATAGTTTAGGACTGCCCTGCTTCCAAGTTGCTGTGAAAATAGATGATGGCTGGGATGGACTATAGCATCAAAGATAGCCCTCCCTCTGGACCTGGGGGGTGAAATGCCTGCTCGGTTTCATCTGCTTTGGGGACTGTGGCCTCTTCTTTGGGTGGCAGGCCCTACAGGGGCCCAGGGCTGCACTACTCTCAAAAACCTAGTTAAAGCCTTGCTGGGTCCTATACTTCAGGATTAACTGGAACCCACCCTGGGTGGTGAACACTGAGAGCCTCTGAGAGCCTGAGAGAGGGGACTGGGGGCATGATTTGGTCCATTGAGGAAAAGGTTTCCAGACAGCTGATCTTGCCCTCAGCAGCCTGATTGCAGAGGTGGTTCTGCCAGCCAGTCAGCCTCATCTGCCAGCCCAGAAAACTCCAGACCCTAATACAGAACAGCTGCAATAAATGTACCCTTACTGAGTGACGGTATAGATGGAAGGTATCCTTGAGTGAGACCCTGCTCCGGAGCTAACTCCAGCTGCAGCATGAGGAACCCTGCAGAAAACCCTCAGGTCTCTTGCAGAAAAACCAGACTGGGACTTCCCTGGTGGTCCAGTGGTTAAGACTCTGTGCTTCCACTGCAGGGGGCATGGGTTTGATCCCTGGGAACTAAGATCTTGCATAATGTTCAGCTGGTAAAAAAAAAAAAACAGAAAACAAATGCAGACTTTGTTCCACAGAGAATCACCACCCAGAAGGCGATAAGTAGAAGAGAAAAGACAACATGAAAGTTGAGGGCTAGGGGGTTTTGAGGAGGGGAAGGATTTCTGGTTGGCTGCTTTGGAGATGCTTCATAGAAGACCAGGCATTTGCTCTGGGCCTTAAAACAGAGACTAAAATTGAAGTGGGGGGAGTGGGGGGAGCGGCAGGTAAGGTGAGTGATGCAAGTATCCTAGGAAGTCAGGGATGAGGAGCAAATGGAAAGAGCAAAGACAGGGGAAAAATACAAAGTGTGTTCAGAGAATGGAAATACAGTGAAAGGTTCATGCATTACTGTGAGTACATATCATTTGAGTAATGTCTTACACTTGAGAAAGGAATTTGATAGTCTATATAATTTCTTTCATCTTTGTAATAATTAGGACAAATGCGCAGAGAGTACTTCTATTTTACAGATGAGAAAACTGAGACCCAGAGAAGGACAGTAACTTGCCTAAGGTCACACGGAAAAGTGGCAAAAAGCACAAGAATGCAGCTTCACAACTCAAATTCTGTGTTATCTTTCCATGGCCTATAGTCCAAGGGTAGGGGAGTTGTGGGACAAAAGGTTGGAATGGGACTCTTGGGACCAGAGTCAGCAGTGAATTGAATGTGGGGCTAAAGAGTCTAAGGGAACTCTCAAAGCTTCCGTGCGTACCCTAAATGTTAGGGAGATCATCAAAGTTACAGAAATAATCCTAGTGCAGAGGTGCCTGGAGGGCAGGCCAGACAGAGAGGCACTCCCAGGGGGAGGCTGTGGCAACAACAGTCTGATCCTCAAATGTGAAAGCAGGACTTGATGTAGGGAAGAAAAGCCCAGAGGACCAGGTGAGGCCAAGGAGGGGAGGAGGATGGGAAAGACTTCAGAGAGGGAGCTGAGACTAGGAAGAAATGTACTAGGGGCAGCGTGGAAAGGGGAGGCCAGGAGTTGTTTGCTGTGTGTGGAATCTGTAGTTAGGTTTGTAGGGGAGCAGCCAGAAGGCAGCCACAGCATGGTTTTGGAGGTCACCTGCCCAAAGGGGATGGCTGGAAGTACAGAAGAGTATTTTGAGTCAGAAATGTGGAAAGGCCAGCCCCAAATTACTGACAGAAACCTAAAAAGGACAAAATGCGTCTGTCCAGCTTCACAAGGAATGTGTGATACATTTTAGAATGGGATTCATCAAGAACAGTTACATAAAAATGTGAGATGCTTAAACAGGGGTTAGCTTTATTTCACTGATTTGAAGTATAGCACTCCCAATCATAATAAGCATCAAGAGTATGTAAGAATCCCTAAAGTTAAAAATTTTTAAAAAAGGCAAAGAACACTTCAAAAATGTAAAATGACAATTTCACTGGTAAATACTAACACTGGGGAATTTCTCCTTAGCAAAAAAATGATTGGTGTGCACAAAGATTTAGCTACACAGTGCTGTCTGTATTATGAAAAAATGGAAATAACCTAAATGTCCTACAATAGGGGATTAATTGGGTAAATTTTTATTTATCCTTATGGTAGAATAATATATACCCATTACAAATGATATTGCAGAAGTACATTTCATGACACAGAAAGATGCTCATTAGAGATGTACAGAACAAATACAGATGATTATCTATGAATTAAAATTCTTATTTTAAAGCACACTTTACTCTCTCCTGTTGCCTTCCCAAGGTCAATGTCTCAGACGATATCAAATGCAAACTTCACTTCCCTAATCTCACTCTGCATTTTCTAGCAGCTATGTCAGTTTCCTAGGGGTAGGACAAGTACCCATTTGCTGCACAGAAAACAGACTTAGCAACTCAGGAGCCACTTGTTTTCTTCTCTTCTTGCTTGAAAGGTGTTGGTTTCTGTAGTGCATTCCCACTCCCTCCTGTCATTTAAAGCACCCCAACCCTTCTCCCCCTTCCAGGGCCTCAGCACCTTGTATTTGGTTAACACCCAGGTAGTCTCATTCCTCACAGTTTCTCCTGTCTCTCTGCCTCTCAGCTCTCCCAGCCATCAGTATCTGGGAGACAGCTCTGACCCATTCCTATTGGTTTCCTGGGAACCAAGCGTGGCCTTAGTCACAGCATCAGATTCTGGTGTACCAGAATTGGATTAACCCATCCATTTCCTCTGTGGGAGGAAAGCTATAGTGTGACTGACAGGTGGAATGGTGCATCCACATGTCTGTTTATAGCCTGAAACATTGCAGCAGGGTGCTGCTATGGAGGGAGAGCTGGGATGATCAGAATGATACAACCAACCTGACCTGGAAGAGATTTACTTCTGAGTCAGCAGCTTTGGGGAGATGAAGGAAGAAGCCTGCTGGCCAGAGCTCTGGAGAGAAATATGAACATTCAGCCTGGCCTCTAGGAGTACAAGTAGGGCACGGTCTAGTGGTAAGCACAAGAGTTCGATAGCTATCATTCCCAAAGTAGCTGGGACCTGGGCTCCCCAGCCCTTTAGCTAGACCCATGGCCTTGATCAAGGTAAGCAATTACCCCATTTGCCCAGAATCTCTCTGGACCAAGCCCTGAGGCCCCAGAAACTAAACCAGTGCTGCCAGGGAAGGCTCTCAGGCAAGGGCCACTTGAGGCTGTGGAGGTGGCCTAAGGCAGGAGTGCTAGGAGGAACCAAGGTTACCCCACCCCCGACCCCAACTCAGCAGTCCTGGCTTCTCTGAAACCCTTCTCTCTTTCCCTAAGGCCAGCAGTGGGGCAGTCCCAAGGATGCAGATGGAGAAGCGGAAGAGGTCTCTCCTGGTCACAGAGTCTGGCAGGGGCCTCGAAAACCACGCATCATCTGCTGCCCAAGTAGGGCATGATGTTTCACAGACATCATCTCTGACACGGTAAAGCAGCAAAGTAGGGCTATTGTTTTGGAGTTGAGGAAACTACAGCCGCCAAACTGGGATTTCTTCTCGTCTTGGCAGCCCCACGCAGGGTAGGCTTTCCTTTACTTCCTCGGGGAAGGTGAACCCCCCGGAGGTGGGCCACCCGTCGAAAAGGGGACAGTTTGAAGACCGAAACCCTCCCTTCTTGACACCCATTAACGGGCTTGAGGAAGCAGGTTGGTTTTCAAGGACTCAATCCTTGAGTCCACTCTGAACAGGACGGCAGGTGCCGGGGTGACCCCCTCACCAGGGCTGGGAAGACAGAGATCCCGGGGGCATCCCCAGGAAAGAAGGGCAAGGAGATGGCCTCAGGAGCTGGCAGGCTGGGTGAGCGCCGAGTGAGGGGAGTAACTGCGGGCCGGGGGCGTTTTACTTTCCAGGAGCGCTTTCTCCCGGGTGCGCTGGTATGGGGGTGGAGTGGGAGCCGGCGGGGCGGGCCCGCGATCGCCCCGGGGCGGCGGCGCCAGGCCGGAGGGGGTGGGGAGGGGTAGCCGCCCTGTACTTCCCCTTCGCCGCTAGCTCTACAACAGCCTGATTTCCCCGAAATGATGAGGCGGCGCTGGCCAATGGGCGTCCTCTCGGCTCTTTAGGAGGCGGGGCCCAGCTTGGGCTGGGGGAATCCCGCTAAGTGTTTAGATTCTCCGCGGCGCCGCGGTTCAGGCAGAGCGCGCCACTCCTTCGTCGAGACAGGACGCGCACGCAATTCGGGCGAGCAGAGGCCAGCGAGAGCCGTGCCAAGTCAAGGCCAGCCGTGCCCAGCGGCTCCGCGACCTGGGCATCCTCTGCCTTCTCCCCGTTCCCACTGGAATCGCGCTCCTAGCGCTCGCAAAAGCAGCCCTCGCCGGGACCCTCGGTTGCTGCCGTCGGATAGTGTTTGCTGTCGAGGTGAGCCCGCCTTCGCCGCAGGGGGCAACGGTGGCACCGGACGAAGGCGCGCTCGGGGCACCAGGAAGTTGGGGACGAAAACCCTTGCCGGGAGAGTGACGGGCCCCCGCGCGGGCTCGGGAGGGCGTTGGAGGAGCCGCAAGCAGCTGTGCGGGGAGGGCGGGCAGCGGCGTGGACCGCCCACCCCGCCGAGGTTGTCCGTGCCTGGCCTCTGTCGCAGACCTGTGTGCGCGAAGCCGCTGGCGGCCTCTGGGTGGCCCTGTGTGTTCGTTGCGCGCATCCGAGGGCTGTGCTGGGGGTTCGAGTGTATATTAGCGTGTGGACGCCCTTTGCTCCCGCGCCGGCTTTTCGGCGGTTCCAGCTCAGGCTCAGGCCCCAGGTTTCAGGCTGTGTCTGCAGGTGGCGGGGGCTGGGGCTGGCTGCGCTGGGTGGTTGGAGGACCTCCCGGAGCCGCGGGAAGAGGCGCCACAGGTGTTCTTTGGGCCACTTCACCCAAGGAGGGCAACCAGGTCGAAAGGGTTAGCGTGCGGGCCTTGGCACTGTGGCTGTCAGGGAGGCATAGGATAGATTGGGGGGTGGTGGTGACCAGGATGCAGGGTGACTGTCCATTAGGGAAGGTGCACGGCTAGTGACAACAACTCAAACAGGAAAATTTCTTGGCATCAAGCAAAAGAAGCCCTCTCTTCCCAAATAATTTGAATTTGGGGAGAAAAGTTCTAGTACTTATATATCTGTGTGTTTTGTCTCTTTTCCTTAACATAAATCTTGAAAGTATCACTTGGCATGTCTGTCTCCTCCCAAGACTGTCTAGGAGGGGCTGAGGGAAGGAGTGTGTTGCTCAAGATGCTGAAAAGATTTGGAGGGAGGTTTTATTAGAGAGAAAGTCCTCTTCAGCATGATTGTAGTACTTGGTATCTAGATGAGGGCAGGAGAGGATAACTGAATGACCTGGGGTTGGGGTTGGGGCTGGGTAGTGACCAGGGACTGCTCAACAGACTCCAAATAGGAGCCTTCTGTCTTCTCTTCACAGACAACATGCCCATCACTCGGATGCGCATGAGACCTTGGCTAGAGATGCAGATTAATTCCAACCAAATCCCAGGGCTGATCTGGATTAATAAAGTGAGTGTTACTCTGGATTTTTCTGCCACTGTTTTAACCTATGTTCTTTAGGGGTCCAAAGCTTCAGATGCAGTTCAAAAAGGGAAGTGATAGGGAGTAGGTAGATGTATTTCCCAGTGGATCCTGCAGGGAGTGTATAAGACCCAGCCCAGGCAGGGCCCCACTGGCTGCCTTCTGCCCACCTCCCTTCTTGAGGTATGCATGGGGCATCCACCTGAGACCACTTACAGTTTTCCAGTAGCAAGATTCTCCCAGCATCTGCAGAGCCAGAGTTCTGGCCTGTACTGAGGGAGACCTCTACAGGTACACACAGCCTTCTAGAGGGCTCCACTTGGGCAGATAGGAAACAGAGAAGTGGGCACTGCTGGCAGGAAGAGGTGGCTGACCCAGCAGGTGACCCAAGAATTAATCTTGCACCAGTTGTCCAGACCCAAGTGGCCTCTTGCTGTTTAAAAAAGAACAACAGACCCTGAAGGCTTAGTAGTACTAATTGTATTCATAATAATAGCTAATGCTTACTATGCTCAATTACTAGGAGTGAGCAGGGCACCATGTTAAGTATGTTACTTACACTGTGTCATTTAATCCTCAAAGTAGCCATGTGAGGAAGATTTTACTAATATCTCCATTTTCAGATGAGGAAACAGGCACTGAGAGGTAGATAATGAGATCACACAAAAAGCGATAGAGCCAAGATTTGAACCTGAGCAACCTTACTCAAAAATCCATACTGTTAACCATCAGTAATGATAACAGTGGGACCATAGCTTTTATATTTGTTACTGTGGGTTTTGGTTTTTTTTTGCTCCCATTTCATGGAAACCAGTGAGGGATAAAGAGGTACAGTGTCAATGCCAGGGTCACACAGGTAGTCATCATCCAAGTCTGGTCCTGGGCTCCTGCAGGTATATGACCAGGACCCCCTCTGTAGGAGCCAGTGTTCACAGTTGTTCTGAGAAGCCCCATATAATGGACCAAGTTCTCACTTCCATGTTGGTGCTGACAAGCCAGAGAGAAGCATCCAGGGGTCCTCTGTATGGGTCCTAGCACATCTGTAATGAGCAGAAGGATGTCTTTGCTGACCTGATGATGCCATAGCTCATCAGAACCCAGAGCCTCTTCCGAGAGATCCAGAGAGGTGGACCAGTCTGTTTAGGCCATTGTCGGGATGGGTGAACCCCAGCCAGATGTCAGGGTGAAAAAGGGAAGTCAGTCTTTTCCCAGACCTGGGGGGCTGGGCAGATTAAGGCCCAAAGCCTGTGGTCTCTGAGCTGACACAGCCTTGTGTGTACGTGTGCTTGTGTGCTGTGTAGGAGGAGATGATCTTCCAGATCCCATGGAAGCACGCTGCAAAGCATGGCTGGGATATCAACAAGGATGCCTGTCTGTTTCGGAGCTGGGCCATTCACACAGGTGAGTGTGCTGGACTCTAGCTTAACAGGAGCTGGAAAGAGAGAAGGGGAGGCACTTCTGTGAACACAGAGGATCTTCACTGGGTCTCTGAGTTCCCTGAGATGTACATAATTCAGGGTGGGCAGGGAGCAGGCCTTTGTTTTGGGGGAGAGGTTCATCATTTCAGCAAGTTCACAAAGGAATTTATAAAGCCAAAATCTTAAAAAGTGTGGCTTCATGGAGTTTGTGGCTGAATTAAAATTCTCCCTAGCAAAAGCAGTGGCAAGCATGGACACTGAAAAAGATCCAGGCCTTCCTTTTTCTTGATGTTGACCAATGGTCCTGGGCCCATCTGGTTGGCAGCCTCCTTTTACCCTTCAAGGATGGGGCTCTTGGCCCATCTTGGACCACTCAGTCCCCCATCAGTAAATATTCTTTGCTGCCCACTCTGTCATCTCCCATGTTTGGAACTATCAGATAAGCACCAGTCCCTTCTTTCTGGCTGCTGATAGCCAAAGAGGGACTGCCTTGATCTGTGACAAAGAGCACTTTGGGCTTGGGCTCTCTAGTGCTTCTGGGTAGGCCTTTCCTGGAGGCTTGCTGGATGTATCAAATGCCCAAGTCTGGGCATTTGAGAAGCCCAGGGCCTGTACCAGTGTCATCCAGGAATACCTGCTGGTTTGATCATTGTGGATCTCTGGCAGCATGCAAGCTTTAGGGATACCCTTGTCTTTGTCCTTCCGAGCCAGGGCACAAATGAGGATTCCCACCTATAGCCCTGATGATCCTCTCCACCTTTCCTGCCCACTAGGCCGATACAAAGCAGGGGAAAAGGAGCCGGATCCCAAGACCTGGAAGGCCAACTTTCGCTGCGCCATGAACTCGCTGCCAGATATTGAGGAGGTGAAGGACCAGAGCAGGAACAAGGGCAGTTCAGCTGTGCGGGTGTACCGGATGCTCCCACCCCTCACCAAGAACCAGAGGAAAGGTACCCAAAGGGCTCTGGGTCCTGGGGAAGCCCTCAGGGAGAGAGGGAAGGAGGAGGAAGGGTAGCTGGGGCCGGCATGCCTGCCTCTACCAGTGCTGGGCTGACAGCCTATCTGCCCCACAGAGAGAAAGTCCAAGTCCAGCCGAGACGCTAAGAGCAAGGCCAAGAAGAAGGTGAGTGTGATCCTAAGCAGTTAGCCTTTGGTTTCCTGAGGGTCAGGGTGGGTAGTGAAAGGAGTGCCACAGCAAGCCTAGGCCTAAGCGTCTTTCTCCTTCTACAGCCATATGGGGAATACAGCCCCGATACCTTCTCTGATGGACTCAGTAGCTCCACCCTGCCCGATGACCACAGCAACTACACAGTTCGCAGCTACATGGGGCAGGACCTGGACATTGAACGGACTCTCACTCCAGGTGAGGAGGGCTGGGGCTGTCAGGGACCTGCATGGATTGGTGGGAAGGCTCTTACTCTTGGATCTAGCAGGCACTGAGCTTGTGGATGGTGGCCTGTTGGAGCAGGCTATAAGTGGGGGCGGGGGATGCTGGGTATCCTGGCAAACTAAGACAGCACACAGCTCTGACCCTCAGTTTCTGTTGTCCTGAAGCGCTGTCACCGAGCGTCAGTAGCACTCTCTCTATCTGGCCCATTCCAGTGGAAACTGTGCCAGACAGCACCAGCGACCTGTACAACTTTCAGGTGTCGCCCATGCCCTCCACCTCCGAAGGTTCGTGCTTCTGGGGCCTGGCCTTCCTGTTGGGGTCCAAGGAGGGGTTTCCTGAGGGAGAAAAGATGCTCAGAACTCCGCTTGGCACCGAGCTGACTGGTGGGCTGGAGAGGAGAGGGAAGAGGTGGGAAGAGGTGTGGATTCAGGGTTCAAGAGGCTCAGTCACCAGGACAGCGTTTTGTTCTGTAATCTTCATGGCAGGCAGACATCTGCTGGGAGGCCAGTGTGTGTGTGTGTGTGTGAAGGGGCAGGGGGACCGGGTGGGCTAGTACTTCAGGGTGAGCCTGGCTGACCTCAGCTAACCTCTCTGCTGTTCCCCATCCACAGCTGCAACAGATGAGGACGAGGAAGGGAAATTAACTGAGGACATCATGAAGGTAAAAGCCCCTTCCTTCCTCCTTTGGTGCCCTTTAGAGGTGGCTACTTCTCAGTGAGGGCTTCCAAACTGGAGGGTAGGCAGCTGCTGCTGCTGCTGTTGTGACCTGTTGGCTTGCATAGTCCGACAAGTGTCACATCCATGTGGTTGGGGACCACTGGCCTTTTTGGCTGATGGGAAAGAAACACTGGGAATGAAGGCAGGAGGGAGGCTGGGTTTCTGACATGCTGTCCTAAAGCAGGCTTCAGATAGCTCTGACTCAGCTCCCATCAGTGCTGGGTCCCTGGCCTGCGTCCTCCGCCCCAACATGCCCCAGTCCTGTTAGTTTGGGAAATGCACATCAGGTTTCAATAATCAGTCTCTGGGATCTGTAACATGATGGCTTTTTTTTTTTTTTAAAGCAAATTATTCTCCAGGTTTTTTTCTGTTTCAGTTTTTAAAATAAATACAAAAAAAGTTTTTGCAGTAGCTGTACCCAGGCTGTGTTCCTTCAGCACAGAAAGTGGAGACATGGGCATAATTCCCTATCTCTAGCTGAAATTTTTAGGCATCTTTTCTTAGCAGGCTAACCATTGCTGTAGGCCACCCTCCCAGTTGGTATGTCCTTACTCTATAGAGAGGGAGGTCTTGGAGATTCTATGCCAGAAGGTAGATGTGGGAATGTTAGCCTAGGGCAGACCCTCACCTCCAGGCCTCTATCCTAACTGCACTCCACATCTGTATCCATCTGAGAATATGAAACTAGCCAAGGACCTGATCCTGGCTGGGAAGCTTTGGCTCATTGCGGGCAGGGCCAGAGGATGAGTCTGTACTGGAAGTGAGCTGATGGCTTCTTATTTATCTGTCCCCAGCTCTTGGAGCAAACAGGGTGGCAGCAGACAAGCGTGGATGGGAAGGGGTACCTGCTTAATGAACCCGGGGCCCAGCCCACCTCTGTCTATGGAGAGTTCAGTTGCAAGGAGGAGCCAGAAGTTGACAGCCCTGGGGGTAAGATGACCCTGGATCCATATAGTTTCTCAAAGATGGGAAAAACCATGGAGGTGGTAGAGGAGACTTGGGGGCCGGACGAGACAGCAGCAGAGGCAAAGCATCCTTCTTAAATTCATTGGGGTACAGACAGCTTGCAGACTGTGGCTCCCAGGCCCTCAGGTTTGCCTAAGATGAGGCTGCTGAGGGGTGGACAGCAGGAGCTGCTGTGTCTGTGCCTTCCAGGAATGGGCTGGAGGGTTGGTGGGGTAGGGGAACACACCTGCCTCCTCACCCCCATCCTCACACAACCTTCTTTATATCTTCTAGGGTATATTGGCCTGATATCTTCAGATATGAAGAACATGGATGCCAGCTGGTTGGACAGCCTGCTGACCCCGGTCAGGCTGCCCTCCATCCAGGCCATTCCTTGTGCACCATAGATGGGCCCCCAGCCGCCTTTGACTCCTTTAGGCGACAGGGCCTGGCATCATGGTGGCGGTGGTGCAGAGAAGCAGGAATCCTGTGGCCCCTTGATATGATGAAGTGTGACCCCACTGCTGACCAAGGATGAAGCCTCCTCGGGACAGTGGCCCCCTGCAGTCCGGCAGGGCAGGGTCTGGACTCATCTTGTGGGGTAAAGCTGGCCCTGCCTCCTGGGAAGATGGGGATCTGAGACTGGCATGTCAGATGGCAGTCTCAGACAGGAGTCAGCCTCCAGCTTTCCCCTCTGAGCCCCACTGCCTGGAGAGGGTTTTGCTATCCCTGAGCTGGCCTGAGGGAACGGACCAGTGACCTCAGAAAACATGGCATCAACTCCAGGGCTGGCTCTGCACTAAGAGACAATTGCACTAAGTGGGTCCTGTTCCCAAAGTAACCGCCTCCCCTCCTAGCTGAGCCCTGGGGACTGTTCCAAAGCCAGTGAAATGTGAAGGAAGAATGGGGTCCCTGTGGGACAGTGCCCCCCCTGCCTCAGAGGAGCTCTGCCCTGGCTCCCTGCTTAGGCTGAGGGGCTTGTGAAAAAAACCTGGCACTTTTTCTTGTGGACCTTGCCACGTTTCTGATCAGAGGTGTACACTAACGTTTTCCCAAGCTCTTGGCCTTTGCATTTATTTATACTGTGCCTTGCCCTGCACCCACGTGCCCCCTCAGGCAGGCCCCGGCAGCCCCCAGCAGGCCCAGTGAGGCAAGCGTGAGCGCCTTGGTGTGATTTAAAATTGGAAATACCATCTGACCACTAAGTCTTGTGTGACCACACATGTACATGTGTGTAAATATGTACATTTGTCTTTTTATAAAAATTGTATTGTTTATAAGGGTTGTGGCCTTTTATTTAGAGATAAATCATAGGTGATTTTACTTCTCATAGACACATTCTGATGGATTCATTGTTGGCATCCTGCCTGAGCTTAACTTTGGGATGAGTGGTAACACACCTTCTGTGAAATCCTTTCAGTTGTGGTCATGGAGAAGATGGCAGGAGAAAGGACAGTTGTGGCACAGGGACATGTTCATGTAAACACAGTCATGTATTGGCTATACAGGTAGAGCTATGAGTTGACCTGGGGCTCCTGGGGCCCAAGGAGTGTTAGGTTTGAGTTCTTCTGAGGGATGTGCCATCAACTAATGTTTTGCTATAAACTCAAATGCAAGTGTACTCAGGTGCTACTTCACAAAGTTATCAGTTAACACAGCATGGTCACCATCAGATCAGACACCAGCCCCATAAAGATCCCTGAGGCTTTCTATGCTGAGCATAACTTGCTGTCCGTTTTCTGCAGTGATGGGAATGTTCTCTGTCTGCGTTGTCCACTACAACAGGCAGTGGTATAGTCCACATGTGCTAAACCAAACACTTGAAATGTGGCCAGTACAATGGCGGAACTGGATTTTAAAAAAATTTTTTTGGCTGTGCTGCTCGCATGCAAGATCGTGGTTCCTGGACTCAGGATAGAACCCATGCCCCCTGCAGTGGAAGTTTGGAGTCCTAATCACTGGACGCCAGGGATTTCCCTGGATTTTTAAAGTTTCATTTAGTTAGTTAAAATTCAAAAGGCCACACGTGGCCAGTGGCTACCATATTGGACAGTACAGGTAGATACTGGATTGGGAACAGATTTGAGGGGGAGGGGCTGGGGTAGCTGGAGGACACTGGGGACTGGGGCTTGGGACTATTCACCTGACTGTTCAAAAGTATTTTACTGTTTTGACAGTCAATAATAACTGGTGCTGAAAATCAGCCCTGCAGTGTACTGTGTAACGGCTCCATGCACTTATGTGTTAGGAAAATCTTGGATGAACTTACATGAAGCAGACGTCCTTATTGCACATCTTTTCAGGGTTCTGGCTAGGCTAACACACACAGAATCTCTGGGTGAAGAATCAGGACAGTGTTCCTGAAAACTGCAGGTTGGGAATCACTGATACAAGGCAATGAAGGACCAAGTCAGAGTGAAAAGTCAGAGGTCTGGAAATGGCCTTTTCTCATTTCTCTCTGCAGGCTGGCTCTAGGGCTAAACAGCACCCAGCAGTAGGCAGGACAGCCCAGGAAAGCCAGCAGGCATCACCAGTATCCTCCAGAGAATGAAGCCATGGCAGTGAAGGGGTTGCTCAGGAAAATCAAGACCATGTTCTTGGTCCGAGAAACCCCTTGTTGGGCCGAGCTGTCTGGAAAGAGTGTGAGAGGGGGAAGGCTGAGTGGGAAAATAAAGAAAAAACTGGAAAATGGGTAAAAGTTCAGTCAGCCATTCTCTGCAAAGCTTATGAAGTATTGTTCCTTGAATGGCAGGTGGCCTCCTGCTGGGTGGGCATTCTACTTGTGGAGGCCTAGACAGACTCATTTAAGCCCTGCCCATCAGAAGATCCACCTGGATCTTCCAAGAGTAACATCACCTGGCGACAGGAGAGGAATAAGGCCTTTCCCAGCTCTTCCAGGGCCCAGCCCTTACTGTGAAAAATAGTATTGGGGGAGGCCAGCCTTCTATGGCTTCTAACTGGGGGCTTGGCAAGGTCTAGTGGGTGGCTTTTCCAACTAATGATGGCTGGAAGTAGTGTGAAGCCAGGTAGATCAGACCTAGGAGGGATGTCGGGGAAGGCATGCAACCCAGAGCAAACAGCAGGGACCTCAGACTTAATCCCTGAGAGTAAATAGGCAGTGGATATGCTGAAGTCCCAGGTAGGTATGGAAATCTGTCAAGTTTTAGTACACAAAGTTCATCACTTATAAGTTTCCAAAATGGGAAAGGAATTCCATCAATGAGCTCCCAATCTCTAGAGCCAAGATGGAGTTTCTAGAGTCCTGGTCTCCAACTCTTCATACCCTAGGCATCTGAGACAACTGGAACCAACTCCTTGGAATCTCCAGAAGGGACCCCAAAAATATCCCCCTCCCCATCACAAGGGAGCTGGGTCCCAGTGGCCAGACCTGGAGGGGTAGTGTGAGATGGAGCCAGATTTTCCAGGATGGTGAGCTATCTTACCACACCCCACCACGCCTGAGGAGAAAAAGGAAAGTCCAATGTTCACTTAAGGATGATGGCAGCTGACACTAACTCATTAGCCAAATAGTGCCTGAAATGGAGCAACATCAGTATAATCTGTGTCAGATTTGGGAATAATAATTTAAATTCATGAAGAACCTGACAATGCTTTTGTGGCTTACTTGCAAGAACTTCAGTTGAAGCACTAATGGTAGAAGCTCTTGGCTGAGGGACTAGGAGTCCATAGAAGGATCTGCTTTGCAGGGGCTGTGATAACCTCACTGTCATGAAGGACCACCTTCCAATGGGATAAACCAACAAAGTAGGATTCAGGCACGCCAGGCAGAACTGCCAAGTCTACAGATGTTCCAGGGTGTTTCTGGTTAGTGAAAGGAATTTCCTCGCCTTACTTAAAGGTGTCACTTTAACTGGGCTGTTATTCATTCAGCTCACTTGGCAACAGAAAGAAAGCTAGAGGCTAGTATGCTAGCTTCCTAGAAGACCTTTAGGGAAGACATGCCAATCATCCCTTCTTGACATAGCAGTGTGCAGTATCTCTCAGCACTGAGCAAGATAAGTGCTTTCTCAGATCTTTCTGGAAGTCTTGGGTGGGGACTGCCAAAGATAGAATTGAAGTCTTGGAAAAAGTCCTGTGCCTGGCTGGAGGTGGAGTCCTCTCCCCTGGAAGTGATGCTCCCAGGCTGGTGGGGCTGGGTCACACCCAGGCTGTCTGTCATTCCCTGGGAACATTTGGTCTTTTACACAGTCTGCACACATCCAAAAATCCTTGTGTGAGCAAGGTACAGGATTCCCCAGTAACCATGCTGGAGCACCCAGGAAGCTTTTGTCTGTCAGACGAAGTGCCCTTTCTCAATTTGGGCACAACTAACCCTCCCGTCAAAACGACATTTGAAATTCATCAGACCCGTCACAACGACATTTGAAATTCATCAGAACTCTGCACTCACCTTTCCCACTCGTGCCAGTCAAAGGGGCAGAGGCTTGCAGGGAGAATGAGGAGCTCATGTACTTCTTTTTCCAGGAGCCAAAGTACTGGGCAGAGTGAGGCTAGCCTTTGTCAGCCAGGGCTCTCCTGGGAGGCCAAGTCTAAGGCAGCACGAGGGTACACACAGCCACATGGTTTTCCCAGCTCTAGGCAGCTCCCAAGAGACCCATTTCTGCCCACTTCCTAGGGGTGGGGAGTTGTAGAAGAACCCCCTACTTCTGTAAGGTCAGCGGTGAGGCAGGCTGAGGGAGTCTATGCTGAGTTTGATTTAAACTGGGAAGATACTGGAGGCAATGAGGCCAGGACGTGGAGACTGAGTCTAAGGGGAGAGACAGACGTCTGCCCACCGCAACATCCCTCATCCAGCTCCACAAGCTCAGAGAGGAGCAGAACTGATCAAGGACCTCAGAGTCCGGCTAGGTAATGACAACATGCCCTGAGCGCTCACTTTGCACCAGGGGCTTGCCAAGCTCCCTGTACGCACCATGGCTCTGGCACCCCACTGCAGCCCCTGGTCACGGACACGGAAACCAAAGCTCAGCTGGCACAAGGTGCTTGTCCGGGATGATTCAGCTAATCAGCATGGGGCCTGGACTCCAACCTACATCTGTCTGCCCAGAGCCCAGACTGGTTCCACAGTGTCAGGCTGCCCAGAGAGGAGGAAACTGAGACCTTGGGAAGACGTCTGGGATAGCTTGCCTGGGGCAGCTAGTATCTCATGCACAAAAGTCATTTGTAGACACGGAAGGCAGCAGAAGCTGCAGTTGCCCCGACACTGTGTGGGACCCCGTTCTTCAGCTCCCTGCCCCCATCCCAGGCAACGAGGCTGTGGGCCACCGGCCCCGGGGCCCCAGTGAGGTGAGGCTTGACTTGGTCCTAAAGGGAAGTGATGCAAATGCCCTGGAGGCCACCTGCAGTTCAGTGGGTGGGGCCCCTGAGGGTGGAACACAGACTGGCC